AGTTGTCCATCCAGTTGTATTCTACCTGTTAATTACGTATTTGAAATAAAACATATTAAAAATTTTGAAGGGAGATTTAGCACTTAGTATCGTCATAAGGAGGATTGTTTGGAATTTCGCACAAAGCTACACGCCCTATCCGTCCCTAATGTAGCAGTGATAGCCCAGAGGGAAGGCAAGCTAGTCATCGTTACCCACAGCCAACTCTTGGGCTACTTTTTTTACCAACGAATAGTGAGATTGACCGTCACATTATAACGCCCCCCCCCCCATGGCTGAAAGGGCAAGCATATTCGGTGAAGGAGATTCGAATCCGCGACCCTCAGATTACGAGTTGAGCGCCCTAACCACCAGACCTCCTTCAGGAGGCAAGACGAAAACCAGAGCGATCAGACATAATCTTGTAACATTGCAAGTGAAAACCAGGGCGATCAGACACAATCTTGTAACGTTACAAGTGAAAATCAGGGCCATCAGACATCATCTTGTAACACTGCAAGTGAAAACAAAGGCCATCAGACATAATTTGCAATATTGCAAGTGAAAATCAGGGCCATCAGACATAATCTTATAATAGTGGAAATGAAAACCAGGGCTATCAGACATAATTTTGTAACATCGCAAATTTAGCTCTGAAACGCGTATATGTTGGAAATAATGAAATGCATAAAATAACTGTTGTATTTACTTCTCTTTCCATTAACAACATTTGCTTATTTCGTAAATATATCGTCTACAAATCTTCCATTATTTTATCTAGATATTAATTCCTATTTTCGAAACCGCAGAGAGCATGGTGTAAATGGTATTAAATCTGCTATACTAAAAGAAAATGTGTTCTTCAAAGTTTGATTCCAGGTGAGTTTTTTTCCAATTATACATAAAAGTGACTTCTTTATTTCCGATAGAGAGATTATATAATTCCTTTTACGCGGATATACGACTGTACTCACCAATGAAGTGATTCGTAAAGTGAAAACAAAGAAGTTCCTATTAAGTAACACGACCAGCTGAAAACTGAATTCCGAGACTGTCAACATTCGTCATTTGAGATAGGTCGATGACCGTAGTTCCTGATGCATCTTTGAGTGATCTGTTTTATCTCATCTATCATTAAAGATTCTTTCTTATCAACGAATGGTACAGAGAAAATGTATTAACATTATATGTTTAAAAAAAGAAAGAAAATAATTACATAATAAGCAATAAGTTTTTATATTTTATATTTCCCCCGGTAATACAGCGATAAGTCAACGGATTTTCAATCAGGGGTTCGATTCCTCTCGGTGGACACAGCAGATAGCCCGATGTGGGTTTGCTATATATATATATAAACACACATTGATAAAAGAAGTCTCTTGGTGGGTCAGCGGTAGGTTCACAAACACACACACGCGCGATATTAATTAAGAAGAGACACAGATAAATGTTTCGGAATTACAGATTCAATCTTCAGTATCTAATGCAAGATTTAAAGAATTTACATAAATTCCTGGACATTATTAAATTACATCAATATATTTAGTGATAATTAAACCAAAAAGTTAAATGTGGCAATTTAATTTTATTGATATCCAAGGATTGGTGTAAACTGTTTATGTTTTACTTTAGATACTGAAGATGGAACTTGTAAAATTCTAAAATGTTTATCTGTATCCCTTTTTAAACAAATAAACAATACTGTTTTTCATAAGTGTAGTAATCCTTTCTATTACCAAACTTTTTTTATCCTTCGAACACATCAATTGCTAAAGTTTTTATTTAACATATCGCCATTGGATTGATTTGAGGGAGCATTGCAGAAAAACAAATTAATTTTTCTTTTTTGCATTTTATCATCAATCGGATCACTTTAACCACTTCTCTGAATGACATAAAAACAACTATTATGTACCTACAGTTTTATTTTTAATTAATTAATTTTATAAAAGACATTTCGTTAATAATTGTTGTTAATGTTTATATATGTTGGTAATTTAATTTCAATCTGTATTTTGTGTAATATGGTGGACTATCTTCTGTGCCCACCGCGGGAAATCGAACCCTGGATTTTAGCGTTATAACTCCATAAACTTACCGCTGTCCCACCGGGGGACGTGGTGAAGTTATAACATGGTTAATACTATAATAATTTAATGTCATGTGATTATTACAATTATAAAATAATATAATAAAGAAACAAAATATGTACAAATTAAAATGATTTTGTCTGTTGTTAAACACAAAGCTACACAATGGGCTATCTGTGCTGTGGGGTGTTGAAACCCAATATTTAGCTTTTTTAGCCTTCAGAATCCTTAGGGGGTCATTAAAAATTTTAGTTCTTACCATAGGCGGGAATCTCCACGAAATTGTTACATTTACAATAAATTATTTGAGTTTTATTTAAGTATTTTGTCACTCATAGTATTGAATCTTGTATTTTATTGAAATATAATTTCGTAAAATAAAAAAAAAAGCCCAAAATCGTTTGTTTACATATTCACATTCGACTTTAAGAATAGTAAGGAAAATAATAATTCAGAAGTAAATTTACTTGCTGCTTCTTTAATGAGAGCATTTTCCCTCTTGCCTTCCCCTTTTAAAAAATGACACTTCATACAACCAAATTATGAATATTTGAAAATTAATAAAATGATTGAACTCTACTGGTTGTTTTTCTTAAGGACTTTTCTTAATCAATAAATGGTTAGACAAGCATCTTGAGATACCACTGTGGCCACATTTGTATTCCAAACACTCTCAAGAAGCTTTGACGTTTTGGCTATAAACCTGTTACACCACTTTTTGTATGTAAGCTACAGAAGACCTGGTTCCACTTTTTGGGATACAAAGTATTTATAATATGCCAGTTTTTATAAAAAAAACTAATTTTAATTTAAATGTTTTGTAAAATTTTGTAAATCTCGAGTTCACTAACACAGAACTCATCAACTTTTTAAAAATGTTTACAAGTAAATAATAGATGATTTATACAAAAAAAGTACGTGTTTCAGGTTTGTCAATTTTTTAAACAATTTATACGTATGCATCAGCATTTCAAGAATCAGCAGGAAATTGAAAAACACACCCCTTGAGGAAATAGAGAATTTTAACTTGCTATTATACTGTGTACATAAATCTATTAAAGCAGCTGACCTCCTGCAAACAGCATTAATTCATTAAATCACAGGATATAATTATAAACATCTGGAACTTAAAAATAAACATACAATTGAAACCTTGTACAAAGTTTTGAAAAAACTTCATTTAAAGAGAGAGAAAGATGGTGAAGTGACTGCAGAGGACTACTAGCAAGATACTTGATTTTAAATAATTTAACTATAGGGGCATAAGTTGTCAGAGTTTGTTTCTGACTAGTACAACGTACAGTTGAAAAAGTTGTAGTGAGAAGTCAGTTTTTAAAACTAAGGAGCTTGTAATTCTGTTTATGAGAGGTCTGTTTGGGTGAAGGTTGGAAATGGAACTTCGATCAGAGATAATAAACCTAAGATTTCAAAATCCAGATTGAGAACTTTCTCTTGACAAAATTATTTCTTGGTAAGTTTGAAAGTTGTGTTTGTTTGTTCTTAAACACAAAGCTATGCAATGGGCTATTTATGTTGTGTCTGCTACAGGTATCGAAACCCAGTATTGAGCATCACAAATCCAGGGACTAAACTACTGATCCACTGGGGGACTTGTGAGTTGTAATGTGGTTTAATGATGTGGTATGTGTCGTTATTCTTATATGTTTTTGTTGAAGAGTTACATTAATTTTTAACAGGGTAGGAGGAACATCTTAATGAGCTGAATAGCCTTTCATCATCTTTTAACCAAAAACAGCTAATCAGTCTTAAACTTTGAAAAAATAAAAACAGAAAAATAAGAAGATCTGTCTGTGATAGAAGAAACAGAAAAAGAACTGGATAAAAAAAAACAACCTTTTGTGACACCGCCAAAAGATCTTTACTGCAACTAATAGTTGAAACTATGATAATCCAAGAAAAGGGGATTGATAACTGGATAATCTTGTAGAATATTTTTGTCAGATTGAAAGTATGGGTGGAATATTAATATCAAAAAAAAGTCGAAAGGTTGAAAGTATGAATGGGATATTAATTCTAAAGGTTGAGGTTGAAAGTATGAATGGGATATTAATTCTAAAGGTTGAGGTTGAAAGTATGAATGGGATATTAATTCTAAAGGTTGAGGTTGAAAGTATTGGTGGAATATTAATATCAAAGAGCAATATGCTAATGAAACAGAAAACTCCATGGAGGTAGAATGTTCAAAAGGCCATTCACAAAATATCACAGAGGAAAATGACAGAAATGAAAAAGAATTCAGAGGTATATATGCATGCAGCAAAATGTTTGACTAATTTTAAGGGAAGGCATCAACTACCAACTCATGTTTCTCTGTACAATGAGAAGCCACATTAAGCTAAGTTATTTTGGTAACAAAGTCATAAGGACCACAAAAAGGTATAATCTAGATCAATGGTTCCACATTCTTTTCCATATGAGTATCAGCTTCTTCCAGTTCCAAAATTTTAGGAACTACTTTGTAGAGCCTTAATATTTTAAGTAATTTTAAGTTACGCTGTAAAAAAATACACCTTAAGGAGATATAATTTAAAACATACATTTTTGATTGTTTTTCAACCATCATGTAGACTGGCTGAAATCTCCCTGTTGACCAGCACCAGTCCACGAATGACGTTTGGGAACCACTGATCAAGATCATAACAGTCAGAGAGACAGATACAGTCTTTCTTGGTGTGAAACAATATAACTTGTTCATAAGATCCTTTTGACCTATATCAACCATACAAATTTACTTTTACCCTAAGTTATTCTTAATTTTATAAGCATACGTCCACAAAGTCTGGCAGTTTCTTCATCATGCCTTCATTGCATTTAAATGTATAGTACTAGATGTACTTGTGCAGGGTCCCCAAAAGTGTTCTGTTTCAAGAGTAAATAAAACCAAAATTAAGAATAACAATTTTTTTTATTTATTGTTTTTGAAATTCGTATGTCATGCTGTGTTGTAGCCTACTCAGTGCACAATTCTTCTCATGATTCATGGCATTTGTACGTTTTACTGACATCACGAAGGTACACACTGCAACATTAAGTATCCCTTATGTGACATTATTTTAGTGTCTACTGACTGACTGACAGACAACACACTACTGTATAGTGATGCAAATGGTTAAAACAGGTGACCCCTCCACATAACCTTTGGCCCACTTTTGAGGAAACAAGTATTATTTCTTCAAAAGAATAGCTGGACCACGTACACACACACATATGAACAAATTAATCCACCCGACCTTCCGGGAATAACCTTTCTATAATTATGTTACTAGAGATGTGGGCAAGTAAACACACTTACAAAAGAAAAGAAGCTTGATTCAGATGATCTGGATAATAACCTAAGTCTATTTTCCAAATATTACTTGTAACTTACTTGTATGTAATATACATTTAGTTCCATTAAAAAACAAAATAATATTTAGTACCATATCTTAGTAATTTATACATTTTTCACTTATTGAAACACACAAATTTTGCACACTGTCACATTACACAAGCAGTATTAATTATATTATTAAGTTATCATTAAAAATGAAAAACACCAAAATGTACTTTACATTTTTTTTTCACTGGATCATTAAACTAGAGATGTTTTGCAAACGAATACATCTAATGGAGTCCTTTAATAGGATCAGGTATTGTTTACATTAGGAAAGAAACATATAAACAAGGTTCTGTGGACTGTTGCATCACACCATTTTAACTAATTACTAAAATGGACATCTCTACTAACACAAAATACACAAGTTAAGATACATCTGTCATTAATGTCTGTCACGCTATATTACCTTACCTGGTAAGAGCTAGACACAAAACTTTGGATTGCCAATAATTCTCTGGCTTTTGGTTTTGTTTAATTTTCAAGTCCTATGAACTTGATGCACTTAACGTCTACTTTCTAATGTGTACACAATTAATTGTATGTATCATTTTTTTTTAAAAGTATATATATATATATATAATAAAAAAAAAACAATTGCAAGTTCTATTCTGTCTCAGCACATATTTCTTTATATATGTTTATAATTTTATATGTACATGTTATGTAAATAAACTGTTACAATAATAATTCCTTAGAAACATTGTATTTGGCTCAAATATGAGAAAAATATGTTTAGAAAGACAACATTAAATACTAATTCATCCCTGATCTTTGACATCATTTCAGACAAAACAAAAACAAACAATTCACTGTAACAATATTACACTCATAGCACAGTAGTTACTGTAGAGTAATTACCTTAATATTTTACTAGTTACCAAATACTCATCAGTTACATTTTATTACAACTGAATGTAGTAAACTGCTCCAGAACTTGAAAATGATTTTTTAATGATCGTTCTTCTGTTTCAAAGTGAACTGTTCTACTTATTTTTGCACCTAACCTTTTCAGAGTTTCCTGGAAAATTTTTTCTTCTTTGCCAACCCACGGTCTTTGGGCACACTTAATTTGATACGGGGTTACGTGAATAATAGCCTCAATTCCTAGTTTAACGAAGTTTGAGAGAATTTTCTTATCAGTGATCCATGTGTTTGATCCCCCTGAATGTCCACCATCTAGCCAGTACATAGTTTTGATCTGTTTTACAAGACTGAAAATGTCATTATCTAAGGTTTTATCTAGTACATAAAAACTGTATAATAACTGGTTGAGTACTACTGTTCCTTTACTAAATCCAATTAGGATGATCGGAAGCTCTGTAATATTGGTTGAGGTCATTTCACAACCACTCTGATCAATATTAGTATTTGAATAACCCTTGCTATCAATGCTGTTATCTTTGTAACAAAATCCTTGACCACCATAAACTGCTTGAATTGCATTAGTTAGTAGCAGCTTCAGGTGAAGAAGTCCTTCTGTGTTGAAAGAATATTGAGGGCTTCCAACATTGTCACCCTTTACAAAGTTATCGTAACAGCTGAACGTCTTCAGCTGCATGCGACAAGGCTTTACAATGTACACTTCCCACTGGGGAAACTGTCCATGTAGGAAAGCTGCCGTGTTCTCCAGGTTCCACCTCAAATAATGTTTGTTATCTCTGTGAACTTGCATATTCTCTGGATAATCCTAAAAAAAATGAATAATTTATAATTTAATGTAGACACAAATTTTACTTAACTTAGGTCAAAAAAGGTTTCATGTGATACTAAAAAACATATAATTGAGAAACACATTTAACAAATTAGATTACCCCAAATCTTCTAATCTTGATAAAGACGAGTAGTTAAAAGTTTATCCATGAAATAGTGTTTTGATGCGGTGGTTTCTTTCTTTTGCTGTCATTTGTTAAACCCTTGTGAGTCAAAATTGTGGAATGTCTTAGTAACATAACTATATGGGTATCCATTGGACAACAGTAGCTTTTGAAGTTATATCCTGACTTCCACCTTACCATCTACACAGTTACTCCCACTCTCATACTCAGGTAGGTTTTACACTAAAAGAAAGGATCTTGAAAGAACAACAAACAGTGACAAGTTTTCACCTGTCACATCAGCATATGATTTTCAAACCTTTAAATATTTAGTTTTACATTTTCATCCTCTACTAGATCTACATTATTACTTTCTTTCATATCATTGAAGATTTTTTCAATTCCATTAAATTGACCAATAATGACCCCCCCCTGTTTATTAGCTGGTGTGCATTATATTGTTGAATAATGGGTTTAATACATTTTACTTTTTTCAATAGTGACCAGGGTATCAAGAAAGGGTATAAACTTCCAGGCATTAGCAGTATAAGTAAGTGTGAGATTTATGTCGGGGGGTGTTAATTATTAAGAAATTCAACAAATTTCAAGAGAGAAGGGAGTCCATGATTCCATGTACTGAAAATGTTGTCAATATATCTGTACCGTCTAGCTGGTTAAAGATTAGTTTCAAAATTCCACTGAGCAAGAGCTGATGATTAAAAGAAATGCATAAAAAGAGAGGCCACAACGACAGCAATATTGTTGCCCATAGTGATACCTTTGGTTTGTTTATAGAGCTGTTATTCCTACTTTCATGTGTAGAAGTAAAAACTAATAAACAGAAACTAGGATGAATATAGTTGATTCATGATGAATAGTTAGTGTCCATTAATAAAATAAGATAAAGAATAAAATGTGCATGTGCGTAAACTAATACAGTAAAACACAATATTTATTAATGCTAATTATTTAAGTAAGCTGCAAAAAATATATAAATACATTACAGGAAAAGAAGGAACAGTGTGAATCTTACACAGCATAACAAACCCTTGGATTATTTTAATAAAACTTAATTTTATAGAGAAAAACGTTTTACACTAGTATCAAGTGCCTACACAGTCACTCCCACTCTCATACTCAGGTAAGTTTTACACTAAGTTTAAATAAAGGAAAGGATTTTGAAACAATAACAAATAGTGACAAGTTTTCACCTGTCACATCACCATATGATCTTCTTTATATTTTATTTGTAGTTTGAAATAAAGATTGTATCAGTAGACTTTGACATATTAAATTTTAATGAAAAATTGTATCTGTAAATATTATTGTATCACCCACCCACCCATCTACCTACCTACCTATCTGTCTACTTACCTCTTTCTATCAAATAAGTATTTTAAATAACCAATTCACAAACACATTAATTAAAGAGAATTTAACACATTTTTTTTTTGACACATTAAAAAAGTTATTACTAAATAACCTAACCTGAACGTCTCCTCCAAAAAACACAAGTCTTCCCTGCACATCCTCCTTACCATTGGGTGGATAAAATAACACGTCATTGAATTTTGTTGGCATACCTTCTATCCCCTGCAAACGTTTAACATGTACCTTAGACAAAGTACTTGTATCTGTTACAGTTGAACTGGCTGACATCATTTTTCTTACTGAGGAAAGAATATTTCTTAGAAATAGCATGAGAAGCAGTTTTCCAATCATTTACTGTTCCCACTAGTTCCAACTCTTATTACAGAGTCAATCTTTGTGCTTGCAAAACCTGAGGGAAAACAAAACACATTTAAGAGAGTTTTTACATGATGGAGGATTGATAATATACATATTTTGTAATTATTTCCATCAAGAAGTGTAAACCGTTACAACCATTAGTGAGATTCATTAATGTTTTACATGGTTTTCTGTGACTTATTGAATAAAGAAGTGTTCCTTATTTCCTTAATTTCAACAAATATATAAGAATCATAAAAGAAAAAAAAAGGTTGCATAACATAACCAAGTTAAATAACATAACATAATGTTTTGGTCCACCTCAGCTGTTCTATTCTCTAAACTATATTGAAATAATTAAAAACAAAATCTTAGAGCCAGTCCTTATCATGCGTATACTTATCAAGCTTTTTCTTAAACTCACTTAAATTTACTGCCTCCACAACATCTGAAGGCAACCCATTCCAAAGGCC